TCCGAAACCACACCAACACCGGAGCGCTACGGCAAAGACTGGCTAACCGAAATAGAACCAAATCGAGTATCGACCCAAATCCCCTGTTCCGGCGGCGGGGTATACCGGCCCAAATCTGGCATGTCGGAGTTGCCGGGGCAAAACGGACTTGGGCCAAACTATCTTGAAGGATCTTGGGCCAAACCAAATTGCTGTCTGGGACAGTGCAACCCTTGGTGCAGCCACGGCCTTGGTGCAACCCTAGCTAGACCCTGCCTTGGCTAGACCCTATGCATACATAGATTTACAATCGTGGACTCTAAACTTCCCTCATCACCTCAGGCATCCTACCTGGTCCTGAAAGACATAGGTACGTACAATTCCGCTCGGTGGAGCGCACGCCAACGCGTGGACGCGCGCAAGCTAAAGGCTAGCTACTTACGTAACGTTGCGGGACCGGGGACCTCACGGTACTTGGACCCATAGGCGTCGCCAGAGATTTTCGGTTGGGGGGCAAAATCAACTTTTGTGTTAAAACTTGCCTTTCCCCAGTCTTTACTCACTCGTTTTACATATCATTCGACGCGCAATGGTGCGAGGAATCCGATGGTGACAAAGGTTTCCTTCTAGCTATGACATGTAATTTTTACAGAAAAAATTCGAAATTTTGAAATTCCATGACAAAAACGACTGGTAGAATTATAACTAGTATATAGTGGCTGCGATTGCCGACGCACTGCAGAGGGCCCCTGTGCAGACGCTCGACTCTAATGATCATTACCCAGAAAAAGGTGAAAAACGCTCCATTTAATCGGATCACCCTGCTAAAACCTCCATTCACGCATGCATGCAGAGGTTTTACGTGAAATGCATAGGACTTATCCCAGCCGCCGATCGTAGCTAAGTTGGGCATTCGGCGGAGAGTGAATGTCGGAAGTGTGAATCGGAAGTACCTAATTCATCTTTGCTCTAGTGAGAGGAAGTGTTTTGTTCACTCGAGTGTGAACAAAAGTTTCTCGTTTTTCGTGCAAAGGGAAGCGCTGCAAACGTGCACAAAAACTGTTAAACGGAACCAAAAGTTACGCACGGCATAGCGGCAAGGGATCCATCAGAGATAGGTTTGGGACTTCCAGGCCATTTCAGGCCACTAAGGGTCAGTGCTGACTCTCAGAAGCATGCTTAGGGTCCCGGAGATCGGCGTGGGTCACCTCAAATATTTACGTGTACGTGGTGCTTTAGGGCTTTCCGAGCCCAAGGTGGGGCCCTCAGAAGCCAGTGTGGGCGGCGGGCGCTAAGAGACTAGGCCCAGGGTGAGCCTGGAGCCCTCGGATAACAGTGTGAACCCTCGGGGTCTGTGTCGAATCCCTAAGTAAGGACCCTACGTAGGGACATAATAAACATGGTGTTGCGGACCTCAGAGGGACACGTGAGCTGTGACCCCTCAGATGCCGGCTTGGGGTTAGCAAGGTCTGTCGCCTCCAAAGTTTGACTGAACTATCAGAGGCCAGTTAAGGTTCTCAGAAATGTTCGAACTTCGAAGGCTCGAAGATCCCTGAATGGGCCCTCAGAGAACATGGACACCAGTGGAACTTTCAGAGGCCGGTTTGGGCCCTCTGAAAGCTTCTTTAGGGCTCAGTGGAGCTCCTTAGGAGCCTTTGTTTAAAGCAAGCTCATGAGCCCTGCGACACTTGTACTGTACTTGAGCCCAGGGGGGTTCGCTCCCGTGCCTTCAGCATTACGAAAAATGGCAACAGCCCGTGAGCAGCATCAGCGCTCACGCACATGTTCAAGGAAAACGACATGTAATGGACTGCTAAGGACGGCCCTCTCCACCAATCAGCGCTCGGCATCTCGAGCGCTGATTGGCTGGTAGCAAACGCGTCATATGTGGGTCTCATTTTTTGCGATCAGTGAACGCGTTATTTAATACACAGTGGCCAATGGAGAATGGCACGCGGAACTGAATGTCAGACTTTTATTGCTTCGTACATGCGAATGGGGGTATTTGAGTGGCATTTGACACCATTTTCGAAATCTACAGTGAATTTCTGATCGACTCATGTATATATTTTCATGAATTTGACAGTATTAGTGCTACATAGTCGGTGTTTTATGTTGGTGTTGTTTCTCTCGACCTTTGTCTTGGACTCTTATCCTATCTTTTCTCGAAAATGCTTGCCATAACCAGGTCTTAACTGTATCTGTATAAAGGGAATATGTGTTGAATATGAGGAGAAGGTAGTAATGACCATTCTGCCTATCAAACTGCCAGAAGGTGTGCTTGTAAGGTGATTGAAACTGCAGTACGGGTTGCAGATGTGGGTTTGACATTAGCATTGTTGTTGTAACCCCACTTGCTCTAATAAAATGGCAACATGGGGTTATGTACCCACTATTGCACAGCCTGGTATCAAGCTGGTTGATATGTGGAGGATAATGAAAGCATAAACACTTTTCTCTAGTGAATAGGAGCGTTGCGTCTTGTGACTTATGTCAAGTCATTTTAAATGAAATGATTGTGATTGTAACTTTTACTTCAATTATTATTATTGCTAGTTTTGACCTTTTTAATCATCAAGTTTTATGTGTACCAATTTCATATGCCAGTGTAATGTCTGTGCGGCTTTGTGCAGTGAGCGTGTCTTGAAACAAACCAATTTATTTTGTACCTTTTTTTACTTCAACAAATGTATGTCAAAGGACAAAAATGTCATGTCTATTATCATTGACACTACTACAGCTAACTTTGCCTATATTCCTATCTTTCAGAGGCATTCATCTGCTTTCCAGTGCAGTACCTAGGAGGCTGCAACTGAAACTCGCACAAAGGCAACCAAGTGTCACTTCATCAGCCTACAGTAACAGCCCATCTGTAATCAAGATATGGGTGAAGTGGCATAGAAGAACAACCAGTAAACATGAAAAGATGTATTTTGTTTTGAACTATTTCTTAGCATAACTGAACAGCAAAGTGCACACTTACTGCTTTTTATGTTTGCCCTGTGTGCACTGTGCAGTTTTGAATTATTTTAACTATGAAATGCTTTTGCTAACTACTCTCTTTACATAAGCTTCCTTTGTCATGCCTGTGTAATTTTGAGTTTACATGCATGATGTAGGCATGTTAGCATGTATTTCCCTTGGCTTCATAAAACTACTTCCAAGCATTTGTTATGGACATTGGTGCTACCTATATATGATGCTTCAGATGTGTCCAGTAGTTGATGAAGGGAGAAGAGTAGTAGGACAGCTGATAGGCTGATAGCTATTACCAAAAATATGTGCTTGTCTGCACTTCGGGCTGTTCCATCATATGCAACCTCTATTTACTTCCTTGCGTTAGAAACACCCCATCTTTTGTTTCTTTCCTGTGCGCCCATTGTTTCCGTGGTGCTATAAACGTCAAGTTTGAAGTTGGTATCCAAGTGAGCAAAATTTGCATTATTTCAGGCCGTCTTGAATCATTCGTCTTGAATTATATCCCTAACTGACATCCTGTTATTTGTCCTGCAATGTCTGTGCCTGTGTCCGCCCTTACCTCCGGCTCCAGCCTCCAACCAGGCCTGCTGAGCTCTGTCGCCGGCGCGGTGTGTCGCAACGTGCTGTTTCTCCACTCCACCCGACAGCTGCTAGGAATCATCCTGTGCCATGCGCCATGCGACACAGCAATTGTAAGCTGCAGGTCACATTCGGAATGATTGGCTCCGCGTATGTGCATCCGGCCGGGTGCTAGTCGATATCAGGGACGTGGGTCGGACTGTTGTGGCGGCGTGCACTGTGCTGGTTGAAGTTGTTGTATTTCTGTTAGTGAAAAGCATTAATACATAACCGTGGCCGCAGTCCAATGTTATTGTGGATTTCAGAGGGAGTGGCCAGTCAGGAGGGCCCCATGTGGGTATAGATCCAGTGTCCAGTGGGATTGGCTAAGATTTCCGGCGATTGATAAACGCTTCTATGATAGTAAACCTATTGAGTTATGAGGGGAGGTCACGTGAGGGACCTGACCTTACTAAACTCTTGTGAAAACACGACACATACGAACGGTAAGAAACCGACAGCTCTTCTTTCTGCCAAGTGTCATCTTTCTGTGAAGGATTTCTTGGCACTGAGTGTCCAGAAATTGCGTTGCTTTTGGACTGTGTAGAGGCTCACGAGCAATAACATAGGTCAACAACCTGACGTACCTTAAATATGCGACTTGTACCAGAAGATCCAGCTTGATCAAAAGATTGTACATGTCAAATTTCAGCTCTTTAGCTCAAAATAATTTTGAGTTATCGTAAAAACCGTCAGTGTGGCACCGTATCGCCTCCCCGCGCGGTCGGAAGGTAAAAGTTCGCCGGCTTTAACTAAACAAATAGTCGTCGTATCGCAAATTCATTGACGGCGTTCGAAGCGTCGTTCAATTTACTTTCGAAACATATCCTAACATTAACATTTATCTGCCTAGCGCAATCTCCAACAAGCAAAAGTTCCGTGCATGCATCCTCATACAGTGTTAGCGGCCGCCGGCCGCCGGCCGCTGACCCACATTCGCGTCATCAGGGAATGCCGCAACTAATTTATTGTTTCCAACTTTTTTCCCGGAGCGTTCTACCTGGTTTATATAGCCTTGCTTGAGCCTGTCGCAGACATTTGACGAGAGTTGAGAAATGCCCCTAAGATTTCGTTTCACGCTTTGAACGAAAATTGTGTCAGCACTCCAAAACTTATGAAAATCAGCTGTAAAATGTAATAAAGAACGAACTAGGAACATGGAATGGATCGCGGCATTGACATTTCCGAGTCTGGACTCGGAGTCTTGAAGATTTTGGCGACTGCGAGTCAGACTCTGGTTTGAACTGCACGCTCCAACCGAGTCTGACCTCACAGGCATTCTCAGAAAGGTACCCCCCTTTTTTCCCGACTCCAAAATCTCATCGGATCTGTATCGATCTCAGGGGGTGCCCGGTCCGAGGTTGGGGGGGGGGGCAAGCTGCCCCGCTTGCCCCCCCGTGGCGACGCTAATGCTTGGACCTCACCTCGTTCTGCTGGCCGGCCGCTCCCCCGATGGTTACTGCTGCCGCAGCCCGCAATCAAAGGAGCCCCCACAGGTCCAGACCATAAGCTAACGCCTGATAATTTTTTTTTAGCACTTTTTCAATAGCCTTGCCCTTGCCTTGCCCCCAGCAACCAAGCTTTCGAGACAGGTCCTTTGCATAATAAGCAGTAAGCAGCGCAATTGATTGAAACACGGGCGCCAGCTACGCCGCGTTTAAGCGCAGCCATATTCTGGGATTTTTTGGTACATAGTTATAAGCTCAAAGTTCTTTTTTTGTTTTCAACTGTTTCACGCCTGGCACAGAGTCTTCACATAGTTGATCAATGTAAAACATCTTCACACAACGCATGACTCTAATTTGCATTAAATACTGGCTGTAGGTTTGTGAGAACATCGCAAAATCTTTTGAATCAACTAAGCTAACGTCAAAATTTTAAGATCATGATTGCTGCCATATTTAGATATCCAATCCTCTTCCGGATGTTTATGGACGACCTTGAATGAGTGTTGTGTAGACTGTAGCAAGGCCATATATAGGAGGTAGACTGTAGACACGGTCATAGAATACTAAGGTAACACGGAGCCGAAGCTTCAAGCCAGGGGACACGGGAGGCATGCCGTCAGCTGTCCTTTTTTAAACAATCGGTTTCTTTGAAATAATTTATTTTGGTTTTTTGATGTCTATCATAAATATAGTACATCAAAAATTAAGTTTTATTTTTTATGAGGTGGGAAATATTTTTCTGTCCAAACCATTCCCGTTTAAAGAAAATAGACAAGGGGAGAGTTTACCCAGGACCCTATGGAGGTTGTGTACATGAGTTTACCCAGGGCCCTATGGGAGAGAGTTAACACGTGCTTCTATGGGGCGAATTCGATGCAACAAATGGCGCAGTAGCGACATTACTTTTGTTCGATGTCTCTCGGACGACAAAGACCCTACGCCGTTTGGCCAATCATATTCCATAATCGCAGCCGAGCCCCCGTTGACCTAGAACGGGATTGGCCGGACGACGTACAATCTTCATCGTCCGAGAGACATCGAACGGGGGGTACATCGACTGAATATACATTGCGATTCAATAGTAGGTATTTTATGACCGTGATTGCAATTTGCATTTGAGCTCAGCAGTCGAGTAAGTTGTGCCAAAAATACCAGAAGTGTTGCATGCCCTGGATGCAGGAAAACAAGATTGAGATGATTGGATCAAGATGTATCTTTCGTGCAGATGTATCAAGATGTACCTTTCACTTAAGATCCATGCAGGTGAGGTTCCAGTGAAATTTGAATTCGATAGGTAGCCATTTTTGCTTTTGCTTTGATACTTGTGGTAAGGAAACATGATTATTGTTGCATGAACTGCCCACTGCCCATTGCTGTCTTGTCTCGCGTTCGATATCCAATCACCATTCTTAAATAGCTCACCTTGCCATATGGAAATCAGATTTTAGGAGGCCACTAGGCTTGTGGGGCCTGGTTTCAATGAGCTCCCAGTGCTTAGGACAGTCAGGCTCATATGTTGGTTAAGGTGAGGTTCAGGTAGGCCAGTATGCACTCTGCAAAGCATGGCAATTTCGACAAGATCTCGTCTGTGCTGGCTTGTCCGGCTGGTGAGGGTTTGGTGTAGCGTGGATTTAGCTTGGTGCCTGCTGTGGTCAGGTGGTGGGGGATGTAGTGTAGTGCATTTTAAATGTGGCTTGGTGATGGACATGATAGACCCAACAAAATGGATGGCCAAAATTGAAAAAAGCATTAATGGAGCTTTGACATGCAATTTAGTGTGCTCTCGGGCTGATAGGTGTGCGGTGGTCAGAACGGACTATGCCAGTGCTGGTGCGTGGTGTTCCTATGCTCCATCATGGGTGTCATTCCCTGTTGTGACCCAGGGGGTCTAGTCAAAACCTTACCTATTTCTGCTAACCTAAACCTATTTCTTACAAATTAGGCAAAATGTGATTATGGTATAATAATAAAATGATTCAAAAGTCTTCATTTCACTCATATTAAACCTGGCCCTTTTTCAGGCGCAAGCTCTGGATGAACTTCTGCGGTGACGTCGGCATTCTTACAGGAGAACCCAAGATTCGCTGTACCTGTATGCATTTCAAAACTGAAGAATTGATAGCAACTAGTAAATATTTGAAGTTGCAGCCAAATGCTGTGCCTTCTCTGCTGCAAGAACTACATGTCACCATTGAAGCAAGGTAAGTGTTAAAAGAAATTGTTCACCTTCTGTGAATAATTTGATGAATAAAATTTAAAAAGATGTGTTAAAAATTTGATGAATAAAATTTAAATGCATTCTGACTTAGAATTACACACTTCTTCTAAAGGGATTTCAGTATTTTAATGATTAAAGTTATGAACACTAACAGCTGAACAACCTATCAGCTGCAAGGGATTCTGCTCCTGTAAGTGCTCTCATCGCTGATTGGCCACTGTGTGTTGAAGAGGTTTCTGCTAGCTGTAAATGAGCACTAGAACATGAATTTAAGCACCAATATTCACTGATAAAAGGTGAATATCTCAAACAGTTCAAATATAAGGCATACGCAAATCTGCTCTATCAGACTGCTATCTCAGTTTAAAATCCCATGTTAAAGGTGAACTATTTCCTCGACAGGACCAGCTCGACTCCTGCAGTAGGACTCCAGCCTCGCCCAGTCGTCGCCGCTCGCCAAGACCTGCCGGACTCCTGCAATAGGGGTCCAGGGCCCAGGCTGACCCGTTCGTCCAGTAACCGCCGCTCGTCAGCACCAGCTGGGCTCCTGTAGTAGGGGTCCAGCCTCGTCCAGTCGCCGCCGCTCGCCAAGACCAGCTGGGCTCCTGTAGAATGGGGCTAGGATGACCCGTTCATCAACCGGTCCTGAAGTCACATCGCTGTCAGCCAGCCGAACTCAGTACATAAGTCACCAACCCTGAATGTTGCCAGCCAAAGTCGGCAGTTTCCTTCGGACAGTCATCTCACCAGTGTTGTACAGTGTACAAGGTTAGTGACGCAGTTAAATGCGTCAATTAAATGCGAGGACGTGCGCTTGTATGCAGCGTTTTGTCATGTTGAGCTGCATGGGTGTCGATTTTCACCGAATTGAGGGTGCCCAGTGCCCACTGCCCGGGCGCAGCAAATCCGCCGCCGCCTTAGCGGTGACCTTGACCCGCACCGTCTGGTCCAGTGGTTTATATAGACATCTTCCTTGCACTAGCTAGTTTTATGTGGCCAGGTTGATTGCCTGTCAGCGCGGTCACGCTGTCGTCTTTCGATTGGTGCGCTTAAATGCGGCGAGATGAATGTAGGATTTCCCTATTTAGTACCTGCGCCCAGCTCAACTGGAGCCTTCGGACGGCGCACCTCTTGGCCGGCGTTGTTATCTGAAACTTATTATCTCGGGCGTATGTTGCAACTTGTTGATTGCCAGCGTCGTTGTATTACGTACGCGGAAGCAGTAGCGGCGGAACAATTTCAATTAAGGGGAAGGGGGGGGAGGCACTGCCGACTTTTGATCCCATTCTTTCCATGTAACGCCCATAGAGCCCATGTTAAAATGCCAAAATCAAAGGGGGGCACGGTGCCCCGGTGCCCTCCCCGTTCCGCCGCCTATGCGCGAAAGTACCAACAGTTTCCAGTTGTTTGTGTCCCAATGTTTTTTATGTTTTTTATTATGTACAGGGACCGGTTGTCGATATCAATGTTATCGGTTGTTACTGGACAGGACAGACGGCTAGACAAGGGATTCGTGTAGAGTAGCAACTGCTGGTCCCCGTACCAGTATTGAAACTGCACCAGTACCAGCATTGAAACTAAATATAAGATATCTCAGAAGGTTGCGCTTTTGGAGTGAGTTGTGGTGCTTAACGCCGTACCTACATCATGCTTAATGAATGTGACCGTCGTGTTTGTGGGATCCCCGTCGGTACTAGTGGCAGCCCCACGAATCGTGGTAGATCATAAAATAGGCATTGAGTTTAAAAGCGAGGCCACGGTCTCTCAGCAGTAGCGGCAGAACACCTTCAATTAAGGGAGGGGGGGCACTGCCGACTTTTGGTCCCATTCTTTCCGTGCAACGCCCATAGGGCTAATGTTAAAATGCCAAAAGTAAAGGGGGCACGGTGCCCCGGTGCCCGCCGCCCGACCCGTTCCGCCGCCTAGTTTGCCTCTCAGGGTTGGTTCGAAAATGGGCACGGCCGAGGATAATCTTCGCCTCCAGTTATCATTTTGATATATCTACGAAACGGTTGCTGGGTGGTACACGAAAGCAGCTTTTTCAGGTGAGTTGAAAGGGGAAGAGGTTCTTTGAATTACCATTTCGGTCCATGGTTCTAAAAAGCGCTAGATTAAAACTATTGTTATAATTCCTATCGACTATCGTAAACCATCGGACGCTCGACGCTGCATTGGCATTGGTACGATGTGCCGGTAATCGCTCGCCGAGAATGATAACGTGGCAGCTTTACTGATATGTAGGATTATCAATCAAATGTAATAGAAACGATATTAAATCCACTACCCGTGAAATAAGCCTGGCTATCTGGTCGTCGAAGCCAGGCAAATATATGCTTGGAATGGCACGTCCATTGTCCATGACATCATTTAATTGAATTATTTTCCTTCTTAGCACTTAAAATACATTCCAGCGACACAAAACTCCCAAAAGTCTGATATCTTGCCCGTGGTATCGTGGTACGATCGGCGAGTACCTTCCTACGCAATGTCCATGGCTATGCGAAGTCTAAGGTTGGCCTACATAGCCTTGGTTTGGCCTGTTTATCCTATTTCATATCGTATCTATGAAAATAAAGTGTTCACGATCGCATAGCTAAACTGAGAGCAAAATATTTATTTGCATAACTCCGGCAATACCCCTCGCTTGATACTATTAAAAAACATTGCACACGATCATGCGAAGCCGTGAATCCTACCGCCTTTATTTAGCGCCGGCGTTCCCGCGTTAATAATTTCTCCTGAATCGGAGGACCAATAATCAGCTGACGCACCGTTGTTTTGATGTCGGCGGACCGTGCCAGCCTGACTGTAGAGAGACGACGGACGACGGCGAGGGGAGAGATTTCTCTTTCTTTACCTAAGCACTGAGTCGGGATTTAGTGAATACAAGTTCAATTAGATAAACGACCGCAAAGATGGGAGTACCAAAGTTTTTTAGATGGATGTCTGAACGATATCCTTGCCTCAGCGAGATTGTCAAGGAATACCAGGTCAGTAGGCGGAACTATGGTCAAGCGTACCCATTTTCGGGAACGCATTTTCGTTCCCATGTTTGGGAACGACAAACCCAAATATGGGAACGCCATGTAGGCATTATTTAAAACAAGAAAAAGAACCGTTAAATGACGTCCAAAAAATATAAAACGATCGTGAACCGCCTGATATTTGTCTCAATATTGTTGGGAAAGAGTTTGATATTGTAAGGCCCATCGTAGTTTCAAATCCTTCCCCTATTTCTAAAGCAGTCCATCATCCGGGCCGCGAGCCCAAATTTGGGAACGCTCTCGTACACTGGCGCTGCAAGCGTTCCTTATTATGGGAACGGCGTACCCAAAATTGGGAACGATTTCACCGACGCCTTTCAGGGGCTCTTTTCATTAGCAAGCATCACGTCCAACGCCGCAAATTATTGTTAACGCAACAATCATCAGATGACCTTTCCGGCAAGACCGTTGCATGTTTCGCCCGGTCTTCTGCGCTTTTATTCCCGTCGATCTCGCAGCGGACACGCCCCCCTCTGCAGGATTACGTAATCCACAACGCTCAGCGATGTTCAACAAGGTCTTCCATACCTATATCCACCGTCCGCGCCGAGGGTGGAGACATGTCAAGCACCTGTCTGCTAATCACCGAGAGTTGACGAGCACAAGAAGTATCCAAAAATGGGAACGCTGAATATGTTACACCCTCAAAACACCTAGTCCCAATGAAAATCTAGTTTTTTCCTTTCTTAATGAGTGTAAGTGGCAAAAGGCCTGGTAGGATGGGCACGAGGAATGATCGAAATCAGCATAAAAATTATAAATAAGCCACACAGAGCGACCTATATCAGAGAAATTCCCCCCAAACGATCATGCTTAGAAACGCCGAAGACAAAAACCACGCTCATGACGCTGCTTATAAAACAACGCTAAACAGCTAGCATCCAAATAAAATATGTCTTTCAGGGCTGATAAAATACAGCTGAATGATTTTAAACCACTGAAACTGAGTTTACAACAGTAGTTCGGTAAAATCACTGACGTTCCACGCGGTCGATCGCCCCGACACCAAAAGTCAACAATATTACCTCGGGACTGTCCGCGTGTTCGCTTGCATATGTCAGCATCTGGTGTCGCTAGAATGAAACTTCATAACCAGGCGAAAATTATTATACTTGACCTCAAAATGTAAAAAATGCTTCATTTTCCTTAAAATTGCATGTTAAATGTCGTATAACCCATATTTCCACCATTCTGTCATTTTTAAAAAATCATTAAAAATATCATTCCACGGTCAATTTCCTTGTTCCACGGTCAGATTAAAGATAACTTTATGGAGATTTAGTAGATACTTAAATCAGCGTGCACTTTTTTGAGACGTGATGCACTTTTGAGTTTTAGTGGGCGAACGGCCGAAAAATTGCCTTCCGTTCTCATAAATGGGAACGCCCGTTCCCATATTTGGGAACTCCGTTCCCAAAAATGGGAACGTTCCTATATTTGGGTACTCATGACCATAGTTCCGCCTACTGAGGTGAGATGAATTTCAAAATGTGCAATTTCAATTTAAAGCCTTGAGCAGTGCTCAAGGCTAAAAATCTAACGCTCAAGGCTTAAGTGTATGTATGGTGTGGATTTTGTGCGGTGCAGTGCAGCTTTGGCTTAGTACAGTGTGGATTTAGTGCAGCATGGTGCGGACTTGGCTTGGCGCTCTGCGAGTTTAGTGTAGCATGGTGCGGATTTGGCTTGGTGACAGACACAATGGAGCAGACGATATGGATGAGGAAAATTGTAACGCACTGTTGGAGCCTCACCATGCAATGCAGTATGCTCTCGGGAGCCCTCTACGTCCCAACCTTAGCGTGCTGTGCCTGCAAAGCGGACATTTTCCAGCTGTGTTTGAAAGCTTAATATGGATTTTGAACTGGGGCCTGTGCATCTTGTTGACCTGTGAGCCATACTTTGCCATATGGTTGAGCACCACAATTTGAATTAAGAGAGCACCTCATCAGCTTAAAGGCAGTTTCAATAAGCATATAATCATTTCTCAATTTCCCTCAACTGTGTCACGGGCCAAGACTGCACTGAAATACAAGTGTGTGCGTCGCAAGTGCAGGTCCCTATACTGTTGCAAAATGACCTTTCATGAAGGGGCTATGAATTGATGACCAATTTCCCTCTCATTTCAGATTCCTGAGTTTGACAATCTGTACCTGGATATGAATGGTATTATCCACCCATGTTCGCATCCAGATGACTCTAACCCACACTTCCGCATCACCGAGGAGACAATATTCAACAACATCTTTCATTACATTGAGGTGAGATCAGTTCATGGGTGTCTCAATAAATCCTGGCTTCAATCTTCTCAGCATTGATTGGCTGAGTGCTTCACAAAACATATTGATACAGCTGAAATATATTATGTTATTGCTCAGTCTGTGTTTTGATCATGATTAGGTGTCACTATATCGCTTACCTCGGCTCCCTTAAAACACCTCGTCAATATTGCAATGGCAGTGAATTGGCACGACGGTCACAGTTATGTTCCTCAGGTTCTGTTCCGCATGATCCGCCCGAAGAAGGTGTTCTTTATGGCGGTGGACGGCGTGGCGCCCCGAGCCAAGATGAATCAGCAGCGCGGCCGCAGGTGAGTGCCTCTCGTCGGACCGGTAGCCGGCACGGGCGGCGACCACACCCTGGTGTTTTGGCCCCGTGATACCGGGTACAGTCGTATGCGCCCTGCTCAGTTTGCGTTATACCATACTGCGGCGCCTACCTAGCGTAATGACGTCTGGGACGCCATGACGTTATTGTCTCCTTTCATTACTGCCGCTGTGTTGTGCCATCAATGCGTCCGCGACCCGACTCGACCTGTTCATGTCCACGCACCCTTCTCTGACTCCCCCTCCCCCTGCCTCAGGTTCCGCTCAGTTCGCGAGGCACAGGACCGGGAGCGCGAGGCGCGCAACCGCGGCGAGGTGCTTCCCACCGAGAAACGCTTCGACTCCAACTGCATCACGCCCGGCACGGGGTTCATGGTCCGTCTGAACGCCCAGCTGCGCTACTTCGTGGCCAGGAAGATCAGCACCGACCCGCTCTGGCAGGGCATCCGCGTCATCCTCTCGGGACACGACGTGAGTGACAGGGCGGCCGCCCTTCCTGGCCGTGTATTCGTATGTACCCAACTGTGTATCTCTGTGTACCCAACTCTAGTAATTTCTGAAGCTGGCTGCCAAACTTAGCACTAGATTGCCTCTAGACCAGTGGTCGGCAGGTCATTCGGGGTCGTGCCCCCTTTTTGGGCGCCAGGCAGGGCCATTGCCCCCACCTACCAGACCCCATTGCTGACACAACTAAGTTTACTGAAATTCCATACCGTCCTGGAACTCTTTGGGCATTTGTGCATTTCCAATGCATCAAATTTAAAACATGACTCTTCCTCCACAAGACATTTAATGCCTATATCCCAGTAGCGGCGGAACACCTTCAATTAAGGGGGAGGGGGGAGCACTGCCGACTTTTGGTCCCATTCTTTCCATGCAACGCCCATAGGGCTAATGTTAAAATGCAAAAATCAAAGGGTGCACGGTGCCCCGGTGTCCTCCCCGTTCCGCCGCCTATGCTATATCCCATTTAACCCTTGTACGTATAGGGGCGGCGGGTGGTTTTTCGTTAAAAGCTCACGTAAAAGGCATTGGATCACGACCAAATTGTACCCTCGAGCCCATCATTTTTTTTTTTCACCAGCCCGGAAAATATCATGACCTGAGACCAGCTTTACCAACAGAAAAATAACCGCCTGCCGGAATTTTTGCCTCAAGACCGCTTCACATACGGAGCGTAAACGCGATGGGCTCGTAAGCGGATAGGGCTTTACCGTTTACGCTCCATATGTGAAACGATCTTTAGGCAAAAATTCCGGCAGGCGGCTATTTTTCTGTTGGTAAAACTGGCCTCTGGATCCATAATGACCGTTGGCTTATGAGCTTTTTCTGGAGATCATCTTGAGCCATAAAATCTCACTTCAAGAAGTTATAGCGGGTCCCGATTTTCTCGACACTTATCATTGCCCTCTTGAATGAGACGGAATGACCAAGGACCTTAAAAAGGGGCAGCAGCGGCTTCCTATGGTCACGGGTAGCACGCTCGTCTTTTTTATGCACAGCTCCATATCAGAGTCCGAGAGGCCGCGGGGTCCGATCGACTCCTCCCCCTTACGTTAGCGGCTGTTGAAACGCCAACAGACGGGCGACGGTTAAAAGTTGCAGCTGCTTTTGAACGACTGTACGGAGGGGTGAGATGGTGAGGCGAGCAGGTACGTGAAAATTGGTATCTAATCAATAGTGTGCTGTGCCTTTGGCCTGGGCTAATCTTTGAACCCTGGGATGCAACAGTCACGATGGCTCCATCACTGGAGCTACAAACTCTAAAAAGATAGGCTTTCTCAGAATCCCTCATTACCCCCACCGAAAGGGCTCCATTACCCCCAAAGGGGGAATGCCCCACCATTTGCCGACCCCTGCTTTAGACTCTGGTTTTCTGGTGTACGCTTGACTCCCATCTCCCCTACTCAGGTTCGCGGGTGTGCATATGAGTCACCATAAGTGGTTAGTTAGTGGTGTGCATATGACAGTGTGGAATTATCTAACTGTCCCTCATCCCCGCACCGTACCTACTCAGGTGCCTGGCGAGGGGGAGCACAAGGTGATGGAGTTTATTCGGTACGAGAAGTCGCTGCCTGACTACGACCACAACACACGACACTGTCTGTACGGGCTGGACGCCGACCTGATCGTGCTGGGCCTGTGCACGCACGAGCCCCACTTCAGCCTGCTCAGAGAGGAGGTACGGACCGCGGGAGACAGGTCAGGGTACAGAGAAGGGACTGTTCAATTCTAGGTACGGGAGGCGTCCGTGCATGAGTCAGGATACATGGGAGGAGTACAGGTCAAATTGCGGGAGTACGGCAGTACTCCTGTATAATTCTGACACAGGAGAGGAAAGCATGATCATAATCACAATATTATGGAGCCCTAATAGCCATGCAATGTGTGATAAATCGTGGCGCACCTATCTGCCGCCGCTGTACCGCCCTCCGGTCCCTCCCTGCCCCTCCCGCGCTGGGTGTCTGATGGCGCCGGCGCCGCGCGACTGCAGGTGCTGTTCACCAAGCAGCAGACGAAGCGGACCACGGTGCCGGAGGAGATGACGTTCTACCTGCTGCACCTGAGCTTGTTCCGCGAGTACCTGGGGTACGAGTTCAGCGACCTGGAGAAGGATTTGCCGTTCAAGTTCGACCTGGAGCGCATCATCGACGACTGGGTGAGTGTCTGCCGTCAGAGGTGACGCTGAGCTGGAGTGGGGATTTTTTTTTCTTTTTTTTTTTCACTTTATTTACACATGCGAAGCACAGCACATCACTAAAACATATCTTGATATTACATGTGTCGCCTGCCTGCAACACATTACACAACCCATAATCATATGTTGATCGAACCAGTCGACCGTAAGCGTTATATCGCTATACCATTTTCAACATAAATACATCGCCATTTTGCAGCAAAATGTTTCATTCGATTTTCTCTCAAAGCGATTATTCTCTCTGCCTCATAAAACTGTTCTACCTGTGATTTCAACTGCGCCATCACGAGTGTCCTACCATCCCTACGCTGGACATGTATGTAACGCTTCGTTAACAGAATGATGACATTAATGACACATGGCACCTGCGTTGCACCGAACAACACGGAACGAGCATCGCACGGAACATGTGCAGGTCGTATTCTCGAGTTCATATTACGAAATAGCCTAATCCAAAGGGCGTGCACAGGTGGACAATTGTATAAATGATGTACGAGAGTATCGGATTCTCCACAATAGTCACAACTCTGCGTGTCTATGACTCGTCTGACGTGCAAAAAGCGTTTAGTTGGCAAATATCTGTGCAACACCTGAAACTGAAAGGACTGAAGTTGGGTGGAAGCGCAACACGTGTATGGAATCTTAAGGTATGTGGCCCAAGCTTCTGGGGCTAGATGCTCGGCTTCCCACTTTATTAGAGACTTTGGTTTTTGACTTGTCAAACCTAAAAGATATAACTCTTTTGTCCTTAAATTTACGATCCGCTTTACTTTTGATCCTATCCGGCAGCAAATAGCAGCCCCTCTCATCTGTCCTACATCAAGAAAGTCTCCAGATCGCCGTAAATATAACTTCCAATCAGAAGGGATAGCTCTTATTAATCCTTGATACAGAAGGCTGTTCACTCTAAAGTTGTATTTCTCGCAAAATTCCGCGTATGTCATTAACTGTCCCTGGGTTGTAAGCAAGTCGTTAATGAATATAATTCCTTTCTGATACATTCGAGGGAAGAACACAGGACTGTTATCTATCAATATTTTTTCATTATACCACAAAATCTCTTCTCGAACTGTTTCGTTAGAACCGGGGCAGGGTTTGTGGAACAACTTCTTGAATTTCCGGAGCAAATCTTTGTGAAAGTCGCTGAGTCTACATCTTTCCAAGACCTGTTCATTGAATCTAGTTCTCAAAAAAGTGTTGACCGTAAACGGGCCAATGCGAGATCGGAATATATCACCAGATCTCGATTCATGTCCCAGTAAGCGCACCACCCAACTTAATCTAAGCGCGTTGTGTAAACTATGCACTGATGTTGCACCCAGTCCACCTTCTTCCACCGTTTGGTAGAGCACATCTCGAGAGACTTTCGGCGGACGGCCGCGCCAGATGAATTTCATGATGAGGCTCTGAATCCTGCACAATGTCTGTTGCGGAATTACCAAAGATGCCAACACATAGTTCAGTTTTGATACCGCAAGGCTCTTGGCAACGGTTATTCTCCCTTTTATGCTCAAATGCCTTTCAGACCACATATTTAGCACTACCCTTATGCTATTCAATATAGGTTCGAGATTGTCATCTAAGCACTGCCGGCTCGCGGAAAACCAGACACCTAAAATCTTAATACTCTCTGATGGCACTATACCACACACTGGCTGCGTCAAATCCTGACAAGGTCCAAGACGCATAATTTTAGTCTTGTTTAGGTTCAATTCTAACCCAGAAACTTCCGAGAACTCTCGCACGATCCGTATCAGCTCGTGAACTGATACCTCATCCCTTGCGAAAATCGTAGTATCGTCTGCGTACTGGGTCAACTTCAATTCCACTCCAGATACGGAAATGCCTCTAATTCTATTTGAAGCTCTTATTTTTAAGGCCAACATTTCCACAGCTAGCGCAAAAAGCATTCCAGAGAGGGGACATCCCTGCATGATGCCCCGCTTAGGCGAAAACCAGTCCGAGGTAAATCCATTGTTAATAATCGCAAGCTCAGATTGATTATATAGTAATCGTACCCATCTCGTAAAATTTGGCCCAAAATTGAATCGCTCGAGCGTATTGAACATGAAATCATGTTCAAGAGAATTGAACGCTGCCTTGAAATCAAGGGCACATAAAAATCCAGAACGTCTATCCACTGCTGTGTAGTCGATAACGTCTTGTATAATTCTCAGACTGTCGCGAATATTCCTGCCTTTAATAAACCCATTTTGATCACGATTCACCAGGACATGAATAACCCTTGCTAGTCGCACTGCAAGCACTTTGGCAATGATTTTATACACTACGTCCAGGAGACAAATTGGCCTTTTATTTTTTAACTGCTTTTGGTCTCCTTTTTTGGGAATCAGTGTAATTAATCCCCTGCGTTGCGTGACAAATAATAATCCCGTTTCAAATGAATGATTTATATAATCAGTCACCAGATCTCCTAACTCATCCCAAAAGCAATGGAAGAACTCTTTGGTAAATCCGGAAACTGATGGGGCTTTATTTCCTGACATTAAATTTAATGCATTCTTGCATTCTTCCTTTGTCATCATTCCCTCGCATGTTTCTCTCTCTAGGTCTGACAGCTGAGGAATGCGGTCTGCAAACTCCAGGTTTCTGTTTGCTGTTTTACAGGAGGAGTGCAAATCTTCAAAGTAAGTTTTGCAGGCGTTCAGGATCCTCCTATCCCCCGTCACAGTTGAACCATGTTCATCATCTAACACGTATATTGCTCTCTCCGTCGCTTGCTTTTTGCACAGACGCAAAAAATATTTTGATGGTTTTTCTCCTTTCTCTATCCAATTTGCCTTTGAGAATAGCATAGCTTTTTTCCCCGCATCCTCTTTTATCGTTTCTAATTCAGATTTGACTTGTTGATATCTCTGTAACGTATCCTGTCCGCTTGAACCCAATTTTTGTTCCAGATTGGAAACTGTCTCCTCCAACTCCCTCTCCTTAGCGCGCCTGACCTTCGCAAGCTCTTTTCCTTGTTTAATACAAAGTGCCCTTATATTGCTCAACATTACTTCCAATAGCAATCCCGGGATATTGCAATCCGAATATAGCCCTACTCTATTCTTAGCCTTCCCTATCTCCTCCTTTATTGCCTCCTTTAAGCAGTCACTCTCCAATAAGCTATTATTTAGTTTCCAGAACCCAGGACCTCGTTTACCATTAGCTAACTTCATCTGTAATAGTACGACGCTGTGGTCACTCATGATCCCTGGATCTATTGAACATTTTTCAATTTGTTGCGAGCGGTGTATTCCAGCACTTATTATGAAGTAATCAATTCTCGATTGCTGAAGCGGATTTAGTCGCCTCCACGTAAAGCCTGTATTTTTAGGGTTAAGTTGCCTCCATATATCAAGCAAATCAAATTCCTCCATAATCTCTTTTAAAACTTCTACCGGACGGTGTGTTCTTCTCTGATTTTTGTCAACATCCAACTCACTTAAATGCACATTTAAATCTCCGGCTATAATAAGGTTTGACAAGTCATCTTGGTTATCCAAAACATCCTTTACATTTGAGAAAAACTCAACCTGCGCTGGCGTTGAATGGGTAGGCGCATAAAGACCAACTAATTTAATAACAGTGTTGGCGAGCTTGATTTGTGCGAAAAGAATCCTCCCCTCCTCGAAGCGTGTGCCACAATCTACCCTTTCTAAAGGATTTGTACAGCGCCGGGGCGTGAGAATGCATACACCCCTGGAAATGTTGCTACCATGCGAGAATAGTACCTCGCTGCCCCATTCACTTCTCCAAGTTTGCTCGCAATCAGGGGTAGAATGTGTTTCCTGAAGCACAGCAAAATAATCTGGGTACCTAACATGAATATGTCTGAAAACTGAACGTCTTTTCTTTCTCTCTCGTAATCCCCTTACGTTCCAACATATTATTCCGAATGTAGACACTTAGAGCAAATGTGTGGGTAACTCTAGAGGCAGAGTAGAACGGAAAACACGTTTCCGTCGATGTCGACTCAACATGATAATGATACAGCACGGTTTACTGCTATTTAACGATGGAGCGTCAAGTAAACAAATATTGAACTTCCTGTCATACTGGCACACTAAACACAACCACACATACACTGTATGAAACTCAAACAAAACAACACATTCACACAAGAAAACACGTACACACATGACCTAGACATAGCCATGGGCACACGGCACCATAATGTTAAAGACCACATTTGTCTCAAACAATGAATCAGCCGTTTGAATGAATCAATGAAACACTTACTCACCCACCGTGAGTTCTGATCGGCAAATCATACCTACACCGACAAGAGCCGACAAAGAAAACATCCCCCTCCCTCCCGCCAAGTAAAGCAAAATCAAATAAAGGATCTGCCACGACACGGCCAATCTCACCATCCGTAGGCTTTCCGCCGCGGCGACACGCGCAGCCCGCCGGGAAGCCGGCGCGCACCCTGACGCCTCGGAACCAGAGGACATCAGCGCACCGCGCTCAGCGGGCCGGCGAACGACGAACCGCAGCCGTCTCCACGGAGCCGACGGCGCCGACAGGATCCACCAGCGCATCATGACGCTCGTCAGTCACCAATACACCCGCCGAAGTCAACGAACCACCAACCGCGGCCGCGCCGGCAGCCGCCACAGAACCGGCGGCCGCGGCGGCGACCGGCACGCCACCGGCCGCCGCGCGCCGGTCAGCGCCGGCCACGGCAGGCGGGCCGGACAGCGCCGGGCCAGGAGGAGCACGCCGACCCGCCGCCGGGTCCAGCTTCCTCCGCAGCTCCGCGATCTGCTCAGGCGACGTGACCCGAACAGGACTGGACAGCTGCTGCAGCTTGTAGAAAGGCAGACCGTTTCTAGTGAAGACAGTCCATAGCCGCTTTTCCTTCTTCATGGCCAGCAGCTCGCTGAACAGCTCCCTTTTGGCGCGGGTGAGCGACTCGCTGATAAACAACCGGTGTTCAGCAGGGGTAGAAGAGGAGCTAAGTTTAAGCCTTCCTTCGTACAGCTTATTACGCAAATCCTTGCTGTAGAAAGAGCAAATGACCGAGTTATCCTTAGCCAAGCGGTGGGTGACAGATAGATCTTCCGCCTTCAGGGGAATGTGTGGAAAGCCGGACCTGAGGATATCGAGAGCCTTACCCTGGATGTCCTCTCCTTCACGCCTCGGTCCGAACCGGCGGCTCCACAGGACCAGACTCTTTCCCCGCTCGTTACGTTCGTTGTCATCCACCTGTTCCGTTAAACCTTCCACTTTCCTTCGGAGAGCTGCCAGTTCATCTTCTTGTTTCTCAATGATTTTAGCCTGTTCAAACATTTCGCTCTCTATTTTGTTGATAATTTTCTCTTGTGACTCGATCTTTTTTTCAAGGTGCTTTGTCAATGTCGCAAACTGCTTTTCCAAAGCTGATTCAATTGTCTTTTCAATCACCTCCCTCATATATTGCATCATCTCAGGGCTCAGGGAGGATTTGGACTTGGGAGACTTACGTGTCCTTTGCTTTTTCTCGGTCGCAGGCAGCATATCCGAAATGGACTGCTGTCTGTGTCGCTTCCCTTGGGCACGGGTCCTCTCTTCTGCCGAACCCGTCTCCGCATCACTGAACATCGAGTCCGTCAGCTCGTCACCGGTAACGAGCGACATCTTCCAAGTCCGACAACTTCGAACTTGCCGCTGAAATCGCAAGGCTCACTCGGGGACCTGACTGAGCTCACTTTTCACCGCACTTCACCTGAGCCCACCGTTCACTACTGCCATGCGCCCCGGCCACCGTCCCTCAGCCGCACATTCGGACTAACAACCCGAGCGAGGGTAGCCGGGAGGCGACCCGGACCGTGCGGCGGTCAAGGTCAGACTGAAGTGGGGGTCAGACTGAAGCTGGAGTGGGGATTATCGGCTCACAGACGCAGCACTGGCCACCTACTGAGCATTGTTTTATTGCGGGATATTTGATTGCCAGGGCCTTTTTGTGGGGGAAAGTGGTAGTGTACCGGTGTACCGCCATTACCACCAGGCTGACTGCATGGCCAGGATGTATCAGCTGGGGATGCTACTGATCAACAGCTTCTTGAGTCTCTTCGAAGTGGGAACGGGCTAACGCCGACTTCGAGCGAACGTTCCATGTAAATGTAAACTCCATTTCGGCCTGTGATCGCTTTTCTCCGCGTCCCCATCAGGTGATGCTGGGCTTCCTGGTGGGTAACGACTTCGTGCCTCACCTGCCGAACCTGCACATCCGCGAGAACGCGCTGCCCACCGTCTACCGCTGCTACAAGCAGGTGCTGCCCACACTGGATGGTGAGAGAGACGGGTCGAGCCGCGGGGTCCGGTCGGCGGGCCAGCGTGCCGCCGGGTCCCTGGGCAGGGGGGGGGGAGATACTTTCACTTGATCTGGTGCTGGACTGGGTGAGTGTAGGCGGGATGCCTACATTGCATCAACCTGTTTGACGTGCGATGGACATTGTCAGTTGTTATGTAACTATGCAGGATCGTGTGTAACTATGCAGGATCGTGACGGAGAACTGATCACTTTTATAATTATTCAAATGCATAAACACAAGACACGCCAACTCATCAAATCCATAATCGTTTCTCACGTCGTATTATCGGCATATTTTTGTGTGCGGCAACTGTTTGTGTACAAAGGTTTGACTCAGGCTCTAGAAAGTGGTGACTGATTTCTCAAACACAATAATGGAATTACCTGTTCTCTCCGGGCTTCTGTCGTCCATCCATTATAGCACATGGATAGTGGTGGTGCGCTGCGGATGGACGGCTGCTGTCCATGTGCTTGACACTTTCTAATATTTATCCACCCATGTTGCAGCTTGGTAGGTACATCAATGACGGCGATATCCTGGCGTTGTCCAGGTACTGATCTGTCCCCTCCCTCCCTCCCGTCCAGGCTACATTAATGACGGCGGCACGCTGGTGCTGGAGCGTTTCGAGGCGCTAATGCAGCAGCTGGCCCAGTGGGAGCTGGACAGACTGGAGGATAAGGCGGCCGACCAGCGCTGGCTCGACTCCAAACGCCAGCAGGGCACCATGGACATCCGCTACTCCGCCGGCAAAGCGCGAGACAAAAAGGTTAGAATCATGTCATAGGCAATTGAAATCGTTGTACAGCATGAAATACTACGACACTAGAAACGCTGTTTCTAGGTGACTGTGGAAAAGGGCAAAATAAGTGAAGGGCATTATTGGAATGAAAACTGTCGTTACTTTCCTTCCTGTTTTTGTACTTATCTGGTATTGCAATTCGCGTAGCGATGAAGTTCCGGGGTTGGCTACTTTATCTTACTCTGGGCGTTTCCGTCTTCCGTCTCGCCGGATCTCTGCCCTGTGTCTCCTCCCTTAGTTTCATTCCTTTCTCACCCCTCGTGATGTACGAATGTCGAATGAGCGTCCTGTGTCCCTCCGACAGAGCAACATCAAGCTGAAGGGCCGCGCCGATTTCGAGTCGTTCGCCATGTTTGACGGTCTGGACGGCCTGGAGGACGGCGAGGAACTGGAGCCGAGCAAGAACAAATCCGTGGTGAGATGGGCGTCGGAGGCACGGGGGTTATAACTCGCAATTCCCAGCGGCCTGCTTTTATACCAACATTTAGTGACGTTCTTGGCTGTGATTTCGGTAACCTCAAGTTTTTTTTTTCGTGGGCTTGTGTGGGATTTTTCATTCGTGCATGCAACTTCATCAGATATGTCATGTGAAAAACAGCGGCGCATATCGCCAATTTCATTAGATACTTACTTTTGGTCAGATCTTGCAATGCATAAGTTTCAGAACATTTGCTTGAGCGGCAGACCAACCTTTCATTATTCCACTCTGTGTTGTGTCTGTTTTCGCAGTTCAGTGAGATCCACACCAACATCGACGACGAGCTGTTGGAGGGTGACGAGTCGGTCTCGGAGCTCGAGTACCGTCAGCAGCGGCGCCACTACTACCAGACCAAGATGGACGTCGACATCTGCCCCGAGGAGGCGCTCCGACTGGCCGTCGAGTATGTGCGCGCCATCCAGTGGATCCTGCACTACTACTACGACGGCGTGTGCTCGTGGTCCTGGTTCTACCCGTCCCACTATGCGCCCTACATCGGCGACGTGCGCGGCTTCAGCGCCGTACCGGGCGTGGTGGACTTCGAGTACGGCCGGCCGTTCCTGCCGTACGAGCAGCTTCTGGCCGTGCTGCCGGCCGCCAGCCAGGACTCGCTGCCCGAATGTCTGCGGCCGCTCATGACCTCCCCCCAGTCGCCCATCATCGACTACTACCCGGAGACGTTCGAGACAGACCTCAACGGCAAGACGCAGGACTGGGAGGCGGTGGTGCTGATCCCGTTCATCGACCAGGAGCGACTCCTGGCCGCCATCCGGCCGCTTTACGACCAGCTGACGCCTGAAGAGGCGGCGCGCAACGTGCACGGCGACGCCCACCTGATCGAGTACACGGCTGAGGACCAGGGGCGCACGGAGTCGCCGGGCTACTTCCCGCCGCTGCGACACACCTTCGCCCGGGTGACGGCGCGGCCGCGCGACCCGTTCATCGCCGAGCGCCGCCACCTCCGCAAGGGCTTGCTGCCGGGCGCGCGGCTGGACGTGCTGGCCGCCGGCTTCCCGACGCTGCGCCACGTGCCGCACTCGTTCCACCTGGCGCGCTGCAAGGTGAAGGTGTTCCAGCAGGCCTCGATGGGCGAGAACATGATGCTGACGGTGCGCACGCCGTGGGGAGATGGTGAGCCGGACGCCGAAGCAGAGGCGCGCCGGCTGCTCGGCCGAGTCGTGTTCGTCCAGTGGCCGCACCTCACAGAGGCCACCGTGGTGTCTGTGGCCACGCCGGAGAAGAAGTACAGCCTGCAGAAGGGCTCCACCGACCAGCTGAGTGTGCAGCCGCTCAGCGACACCGACCGCACCGTCTGGATCGGACACATGCACGACATCAAGAGCGAGTGAGTGCCGGGGGGAGGGGAGGGGGGGGGGAGGGCCGCTCGCACTGCCTCAGGGAGGGCTGGAGGGATAGGGGAGGGATCATTGGCCCCCGTCCCGATCACTGTATCAGGACCTCCACCGTTTTCTTGGATAGGAAATCAACTCTGATAGAACTCTAGTTGTCTTTGAGGAAGGGTGAAATGAAACAACAGTCTGTTTAAAACTTGCTAAGCATGATTGGCTTATTCCTCCTCATTTCTGTTAGACACTTCTCCGTGTTCACCGTTCTACGGAAGTTACACCTTACTCACCTGCCTGTATTCTTACTCACTTGTCTCGCCCGCCTCGGGCTGCCTCCGGGCCTCACCACTCAGCCATCCCCCTTGTCTCCTTACCTCTGCCCTGTCTCACCGTTGGCTCTCCGGCAGGTACGAGGGCCGTCGGGGTATTCTGACGGACGACATCCCCGTGCTGGTGTACGCCAAACCTCTGACCGGACGGAAACACGCGGCTACCCCCGACGGCCACGTGGTGCTTCAGAAACAGGTGGGTGTGCGATCTGTGGATGTGTTGTGTGATGTGTTCCGTGGGGTGGGGTGAGGTGAACGTCAGACTCGTGTCCGTGGTGCTGCAGATACAGGTGGGCAGTGGGGTGTGAATAGGCTATGTGGAGCCGGAGGGGTAGGGGAGTCATTGGCGGCTGTGTGTGACGGTAAAGAATCGGGTCAGGTTATTGCGAGTCACTAACGCTGCGGAATGACGGAGAACCATTTAACCGACTGTCGACGGGCCCGTTTTCTTTCACTTACGCGCCTCTTAGCTGAACTTATCAAAGCCAACTGGAATGTGACGTGGTCACGCTCGGCCATAGCTGTCCTCTATATTATAAGTGGTCACTGTATGGTCCCTGCTTTTGTCTGAGCACTGTGCTATGTCTGCTTCATTGCCTGGTCACTGTTGTATCACTGCCGTCTGTCGTATCACTGTCGTACTCTGTCGTTTCACTGCCGCCTGTCCTGTTGCAGTGGTCGACGGTGCCGAAGCCGTTCGCGCTACAGACCTGTGTCCGCGAGCTGAAGACGCTGGAGGGCAGCTACACCAAGTACACCTCGGTGGCCGACCTCTTCGACAAGGGCTCCCACTGCTTCGTGCTCGCCCCTGACTCCTACGCCTCAATGGGAAAGGTCCGTGCTGGAGCTGGCATGCCGGCAGGGGATAAGCTCAGTAATGACTAATGAGTTGTTTTTATCGAAGGAAATAGGTTCTAGTAGGTGCTATGAAAGGCACAAACTATTCTGAAAGGATGTGGAACGATTTGGCTGAGATTTGTTCGTGACTTCTGAAGACTGACGTTTGAGTTTCTATAATCTTTCTGAAGTTTGTCAGTCAGTGCGTTGACTGACATCACGTCAAGACGTGTGGTTATAACTGACGTATGTCATGGGTGACGCATGATGATGACTGACGGTTATAAATAACATTTAATGATTAATCTCCCCTTTTGACATCTGGCAGCTGGCGTTTATCAGTGACCTGTGGTGACTGACATCTTTTAATGTGTAATGGCGTCTGTACGCCTTTGACTGACGTCCTTCAATGTGTGCTGACCTCTGTACGTCACAGGTGATCGAGGTGACGGAGCGGGGTCGGGTGCGTCTGGACGTCACCCTCACTCCGGAGCCGGACTTCAGCGCCGTGCAGCGCAAGGAGGCCCGCCTGGCGGCCACCTATTTCCCAGGTGAGACTCGGAGCCTGGCGGCCACCTATTTCCCAGGTGAGACCCCGCACCGGCCCGCCTGGCGGCCACTTATTTCCCAGGTGAGACCCCGCACCGGCCCGCCTGGCGGCCACCTATTTCCCAGGTGAGACCCAGAGCCAGCCCGCCTGGCGGCCACCTATTTCCCAGGTGAGACCCGGCGCCGGCCCGCCTGGCGGCCACCTATTTCCCAGGTGAGACCCAGAGCCCAGGCCCGCCTGGCGGCCACCTATTTCCCAGGTGAGACTCGGAGCCGGCCAGGCTCCAGCGGAAAGTGGGCGGTTTGCGGACGAAACACTGCGGGACCGGAGAGCGGGACTGGGCGTGGATGAGCGAGCACTTAGCTGGTGGTCGACTTCTTTTTAGCTTGACTTTCTGTGAATTGATTTGCTCTGATTTTGTAGCATAAGCTTTTCTCAATGAGCGGGTCCTTTGTAGTGATGCATTTATTGGCATCAATTTCAATGTAAACACGAAGCTGTTGTAGAAAACGAAGCTCACTCGTTTGACCGGAAACTTCTGTGCTTCCGTCATTGACTGGATCTCCCACACCCACTCACGGTGTTTATGGACGGCGTGGTTGGGTGCAGCAGATATCCGCCCGATGATGCGTCCGCCCGGAGCCCCACACTGCCCGGCCCTGTCTGTCGCCTGGAGCCTCTCACTGCCCTGTCTTGTCTGTCTGACCCGCCCCGCTCCTCCCGGCGCCGCCCGCAGGGTACGTGGTGGCGCAGAAGCTAGGCATCACCTCACACCTGGTATCGCGGCTGACTGGCTGCCTGCTGCTGGAGCCCGGTGGCGGCGCGCGCGCCAACGGAGCCTCCAACATCGTCGGCGAACTGGAGGACGCGCGCATCGACCGGGACGCCAAGTTCAACTGCGCCATCGAGATCAAACACAACAAGAAAAACGAGGAGGTGGGTGGCGGTGGGATGCAGGGAAGTACGGTGGGAGGAACAGGGTTGGAGGGCTGGAGGGACGTGGCTGAGGTAAGGTGGCAATCAGAACTGGCCTGCTTGCTGAATTTTGAGCCAGCTAGGGAATATTTTAAAAGTTCTCGGATGTTCACGTGGTTGGCCCTTTTCTGTAAAATATTTGGAACGCCTCGCCACCACGCCTCCGTCTTACACCTGCCTTTGTGTACCGCCACCCCCGCCGCCGCCGCCGCCGCCGCCGCCGCCGGGACAGCTGCAGCTGCCGCTATTAGTTCACTCCTCCGCCGCCAGATGCCGGGCTACTCGCGGCGCAAGGACGGCCAGTGGATGTACTCGGGCCGGCTGATCGACGTGCTCCGAGAGTACATGTCGCTGTTCCCGGAGCTTATCGAATTCCTCGGACGGAACACAGAGGGCTTCAAGTTCAAGGAGGGGGACATCTGGCCCGAGCCCGAAATAAGGTAGGGGGTCAGGGAGAGGAAGGGAGAGGATGGGATGGGACGGAGTGGGGGGGGGGGGGGGGTATAGCTGGAGTGCGCAGGGTGTGGGCATTAAGGGAACGTTTCAGATTACAAGATGAAATGGTTGGACGGGATGGGCTCATTATTCGGCTATAGTACGTTAACAGGATCCGGTTACCATAAATTATATTCCAAATATATCCTATAATTATGATATGTCTAGGGCACCGGCAGTCTAGGTTATAAAGGTTAACGTATAGATAGATATACTTCTACCTATTTAGTGGTCTATGGATAGAATCATTTTCCAAAGGTGCAGTGTCATATAACGGCAACCTGACAAAGCATCACACAGTCTATGTTAAGCCACAGCTTTTCATCGCCCTTGGCCACGGCTGATCTAAGTCGACTTTGGCTGCCCTCTGAGTCTCTGACCCGTGTTACTGACTCGATGTAGCCGTCTCCTGCCCCATCGTGACTCCGTCTAACCATCTCCGGCCCCGCCGTGACTCCATCTAACCATCTCCGGCCCCGCCGTGACTCCATCTAACCGTCTCCGGCCCCGCCGTGACTCCACTTTAACCGTCTCCGGCCCCGCCGTGACTCCATCTAACCGTCTCCGGCCCCGCCGTGACTCCATCTAACCGTCTCCGGCCCCGCCGTGACTCCGCCCTAACCGTGTGCGGCCCCATCGTGACTCCGCCCTAACCGTGTCCGGCCCCATCGTGACTCCACTCTGACTGCCTCTGTGAGTGTCCTCTGACTGTCCCCCGGCCCGCTGTTGGCGGCAGGGCGCGCCGTGTCGCCATCAACTGCCCCAGTGTGACCGCCTGACTACAGCTGTAACCTGCCTGTGACCGTCTCTGTACCCGCCTCTGACCGTCTCTATCGTCCGCGGTTGGCGACAGGACGCGCGCTGTGCAGGGGGATACACCCGCTGTGGACCCGCTATGTCTCCCTCTGACCCTGGTTCTGCTGTGTCTCCCTCTTGGTTCCCGCTGTGTCTCCCTCTGACCCTGGTTCTGCTGTGTCTCCCTCTGACCCTGGCTCCCGCTGTGTCTCCCCTCTGACCCTGGTTCCGCTGTGTCTCCCTCTTGGTTCCCGCTGTGTCTCCCTCTGACCCTAGTTCCGCTGTCTCCATCTGACCCTGGTTCCGCTGTATCTCCCTCTGACCCTGGTGGTTTCCGCTACTGGCAGGGCGCGCCGGGTCCGCCAGCTGAAGGACTGGCTGAAGCAGGTGCCGTGCGCGCAGACGGAGCGCTGGCCGTGCGGCGCGCCGCTGCTGGAAGCGGAGGTAGTGCGCGCGCTGGAGCAGGCCGTGGACCAGCACCGGCCGTCGCAGCCGCGCACCCGGCTCAGCGTCAAACCGCACCTGCTCTACAAGGTGAGTCGGCGGCCGGGAGGGAGGGGACCCGGCGGGGGGGGGGGAACCCGGCGGGAGGGCGGCTTTAGACGGTGTCGATGAACCCGGTTTTACATAGTACAGAAGTGGGATGGCCGATGCGGATTAAACCGCAACTTATGCCGTATTCGTGAGACTCCATTAACTTCCCCGCCTCAACTCGTACCAAACTGTCTGAGGTCAAAGTCGACTGCGCTCTGTTCTCCTCGGGGTGTGCGCTATTTGGGTCTAAGCTCGATCAATGACACTTCACCTGGGGACAGGGCATAGGTGGGCTGTCTGAGTATCATCCAGCTGACAAAAGGTCATTGAGCGGCTGCATTGTACATAAAACAGCCGAATGCCTTGCTTTGAGCTCGCTTTACGTCTCTTATGATTGGTGTTTCCGCAGACTGCTGCCGTAAGTGGTGCAGAGGCGATTAGTAAAGTCTTGTTCAAGGCTCTTGTATTATTTTTGGTTGTTAGCAGTACGCAACCATTAGTTTTGTGTTGACGACGCGGACAAAGGCACCTTTCCACTTGAGATGGAGTCACTCCTAGAAGTCGTTAGCAATTATCACCGACGTTATTTGTCACACAAATGACGACTGGACGTGCCGTTTGGTCCGGGCGAAGTACGTGGCACTGATCGAGTTGTGCCCAATGGCCGGGCAGCTGCGTCGGAGAGGCGGCGACTTATGAGCTCCGCGGATCCATTTATCAGCTGTCGACGCGCCTGGCCGGATCGGCGGGTGCCCCCCCCCCCCCTGGCACGGGGGGGGGGCTGTCAACGAATACGGCTGCGGCCACTCCGTCTTGGATTGGATTATAGAGAGCGCCGGCTGAATAATCTGCATACTCAATTGATTGGACGGCGCCCCGAAATGAATGAACGTTGGTTATTGGTCTCATCGGAGACGATGAGGTGAGCTGGTCTGAATTTCTCTTGGGCTTTCAGTTATGTCTTTACTTTTTCGACGATAATCTTATCTGCTGCATTGTCGCCCATTCTCTGAAATGATGGCGGTAATCGTCACAATAGTAGAATTAGGTGGTGAAAATACACTAAATTATTACTCCTTGGATAAAACAAACACATTGGAGCTGTTTTCCAACGTTTGCTTGTTTTGTTGGGCTAGGCCCTTTCAGTCTGACAAGACCATTTCAGAGCCGGAAGGATGATAGGAATAAGGGAGAGACATTGGTCTGGGCAGGCACCCTAGTGAGTCGCCGGGGCTGAGCCCGTCCAGAGGACAGGCCACCCAGCCCCAAGGCACTCACTGCACCCGGTTACGGGTGCTCTCCCTTGGGAGTAGCAGTGCCGCTCCAAAGGAGCAGCCCGCATGAGATAAAGTTGCCTGTCCAGTCCAGAGGGGGTGCGGCGTGGAGGAGGAGTATTTCAGCGTCCTGAGGATGGAAACGACGGAACGCGTGTTTTCCAAGGTCATGCCGCTTACTTTTATGGACGACGGTGACCGATACCTGCGTGGGAGCTGATGACGCAGCCGTGCGACATGAAGGGTTTCGGTGCCTGAAAACGGCACTAATGTCGCAGTAATAACCAGACAAATCCCGGTGGACGCACCGGTCTCTGTGTATGGCGTCTGTCGAATGACTTGTGTGACAAACAACAGTAGCTGGTGCTATTTCTTCAGTTGACTTCAGAAAGAAAGTCTCAAGTCACGACTTAAGAATTCAAAAAAGAAAATTAATTTGAAAGCACCAGAAAGCTACTATTTTTAACAACCACTGACAGTTTGAAATCAATCGCGCGAACAGGCAGCTTTGACGGGAAATAATCGAACGTCGGTGTTACGTAACCTGACAGCTAACCAGAGATTGCCAGTGGCCTGGTTGAGTAGCCAACATTTGTCTTGTGGGGTGTTTATTTATTTACATTACAACGCGATAAACGGCTCAGTGATTGCTCAAAGCGATGATCTTGGCAAAGTTTTAATGTCAGTGTTGAGAACGCTATAAGACGCTGGCTCAAATAAGTTAGTCTTCTAGTCTATGAATCATGTTTCAATCCAAGGAGACGTTCTCCTTTGGAGCTGGAACACAGCAAAACCCCAGGGCATTTTACGCCCAGCATCATCCATCTTTGTTCGTGGCTGGAAATCTAATGGACTCCGGCCCCTGCCATCTTTGTATGTGGCTGAAAATTTAATGGACCTCGGCTGGCGTCGCGCGGGACAGAGTCCCTGCGTTCGGCGAAAACTTCGCTCAGCTGGAAATAAACTTAGAAGAGTTGAAGGTTCACAAACCGACCTTTCCATACTGTACGCATCATTGCGCTCGGTCGGGTTCGGTCCCGGCGTCACAAGGTCTATGTAATGTCAAAAAGGCAAAGACTGTCCCGGCGTCACAAAGACAATGTTCCGGCGTAGCATACTCTCGGTCACAACGCTCAGCGCCTCATAAACTTCGTCACAGCGCTATGTGGATTTTCAGTGGCTTTCAGCATTGATGTCATGCCAACTTACCTACCCACGGCATTTTTACTCCGTCACGCCAAGCTAAATCTGCGCTTTGTTTGTTCGCGTGCAGGATATAACGTTAACGGTGTAAATCTGATCTCGGGGGGCGCGCGGTGCCGGCCGTTTTACGCCCTGCCATCGTCTGGTTTATACGGCCGGCGGCTGGCCGTGGCGCGGCGCTGTTTTACGGCCTGTTTACCCCGGTGTCACTATTTGGAGGCGGCCGATCACAGGGGCGCCGCCGCCGTGGGCCGGAGCTGGCCGGTCGCCGTCTCCGGGCCGTGCTCCGTTTACCGTAGACCAGCTCTGTGACGTCTGATCGGGTTCCGGAGGCGGCCGGCCGGCCGACGGCGGCTCGCTCTGTTGTTGCTGGATGTGAGCAGGCACCGGCCGGTGAATTATTCCTGTCACGGCAGGCCGATATGTTGCGAACGCGATGTGGATATCCACAAGCAAGTCTGGTTTATACTGCCTTATTTTGACTCTAAAGTTTCTGTGACGGACAGCTTGCCTATCAGTGACGGACTGTTAAATGCCTATATTTGTTGGAACGAACATTGTTGGCGAGGTATATCAGTCCCACGCACAAGGGGGAAAAGCTCAAAAAATTGAGCGCTCAAAAAATTGAGCGGGCCCCATTATGAAGGAATAGGCGAAACGATGGTATTTTAAAATGCCTTTAGCGTCACCCTACGGCAAATATCGTATCCAAATAAGGTATCAATGGCAAGAGAGAGCAACAAGGTTTCTTCTCGAACACTCGCCGTGATAATTTATATCGGTGTTTTTGGAAAGAAAATGCCCTAAAGACGCTCAACTTTTTGAGCGCCACTTGTCGTTCGGGACCGCGATACTCAATAAATTGAGCGCCACGACAGACGACAGTCAGCTGGCGCTCAAAAAATTGAGTGCCGGCCAGCATCTACACTCAATTTTTTTAGCGTTCTCCGTGACAGGTGAAGCCGGTACTGGCTGCCATTTTTGATGTTATGTTCGTTGAAATACGTTAAACTGAGTTGAAACAGAAATGCAGGAAGTTGAATGCTACGTGGTACCTAAACTTTTCACAAACCCATGGCATCATGTCACATTTTCCGCTAGTAGTTTTATCGGTCGCCTTTCGGATTCGGCACACCTCAAATAATTATACAGGGCTTGAATAATCCGTATGAATACTGTATTGATATTCTCTGACTGTACTGGGAGAAGGGAATACGTGAATACAGAAAGATATCCACCCACGCTTGAATATTGGAGAATTATAGCAGGAAAAACTGTATTGCCACGGTTACAACTTACAAGGCCATCGGCCGCAAACACACAAAAATACTATACAATGTGGGGTTAGATTCACAAACATCATCAAGTGTGGAACCCAGAGACGAGCAAAACAACATCACATTATCGCATGCCAGCCCGACCACATTGGAACCGGGTGACCTGCGACCGGAACCTGCGTCTTGCCAGCATACATCACAAAAGCAGGAGGCAGTGTCGTACTGCTTTGATCCAAAATATGCCATATAACAAATGATATAAACGACCTAAGCTCGGACTAAGCTTATCATTATCAAATCCTTAACATGTAAGGGACGAATGGAAACATCGAGTCTCAGACCAGCAGTAGCAACCATCACAGTAGCAACATCACAAAGAACACGCGGCATTATCAGACAGCCGTTTTGTTATTGGGCTACAGGCGGCGACGGCGTGGTTGCAGACCAGCTGCGAGGTAGCGGCGTGCGGGCAAAAGGCGCGGGCACACCTCCATGTGGCCGTACGGACAGTGCGCGGTCGGCGTCGCATAGTGGGCGGCATCGGGCTGTCCCGGGGCCGTCGAAGCCGCACAGGTTGTCGGCGCATGTGGGCGCACGCGGTCACCACGGCCAGCTGCTCACCGCCAGCACAGACTGCGCAGCGTCGCCGCTCCGCCGGCCAGAACACGCAGACAACCCTTCTTGCAGTCGCACAACACGTCGCCAAACTCATTCACCTGCTCCACCATGTTGTTGATGTCACCGAGTCGTTCAAGTTGTGGCTCGTGCCGTCGAGCATGACCTGCCCAGGTCAGCGGCTTCTGCTCCAGCGAAGTCTTCATCTTGGTGACGTCTTGCTGATCTCCACAAAGGCTGAGCAGATGACCTTACCCACAGGGACGGCCGACGTCCTCGCCAGCGACCGCTTGGTTGTGCAGACCTGCCAGAAAAAGAAAAGCTGTTTGGTGATCTCAAACGATTTTTTCTTTATGCAGTGGAACAAAATGGAAAATATGTCATACAACAGGAACTAAAAAAAAAGATGCAGCCTAGGTCGTCTAAGAAATGGGTGCAACATTGATAAAATTCTTCATTGAATGAATTCTGCAAATGCTTTTGAGTTTTGATAAAATGTGTGGTGATTATAACTTATAAGGAGGCCACTTTACTATAAAATTGCTCAGGATTCCTTATATGGACCTGTCAAAAAATCCTGACTGCACACCAACAATGAGCATTAAATCCGAAACCTCTACCAGGTACCTAG